TCTTAGGCTCTAGAATGGTGATATTATCTGCAGGAGTAATTTGGGAGGTTGCAAATCTTATGACCTCCAGAATAATGATTGGCAATCATGTATGTCTACACCTTAGCAGAATTCAGTCTCCTGCACCCCGCTAGCCTGGTGGTCTCTCATTACCTTTACAAAAGCAGCTGAGTTTGGGGAAAGGGCTATTATCATTTAACTCCCAAAGTTAGCTTGGCCTACGCCCAGAAATATTAATAATTAATGGCCACTTGAAGGCTAAAGGCAAGATGAGGGTTGGCTAGATCAGATCTCCCTCACTGCCATAGTTCTCTCACTGACCTGATTTTTGCAAAGCGGTTTCATTGTGTTTCTTGTAAAGGTGGAGTAGAAAGTCCCTCTCCCTCCCTCCCTCTGTGTCACATTTTATTACTTGGGTAGTGAGCACTAAAACGTGTGAGTCTTGGGTCTGGCGTGAAAAGCTTGCAGTTTCAGGCCGGGCGCGGTGATTCATGCCTGTAATCCCAGCACTTTGGGAGGCCGAGGTGGGCAGATCACCCGAGGTCAGGAGTTCAAGACCAGCCTGACCAACATGGTGAAACCCTGTCTCTACTTAAAATACAAAATTAGTTGGGGATGGTGGCGGGCGCCTGTAATCCCAGCTGCTCAGGAGGCTGAGGCAGGAGAATCGCTTGAACCTGGGAGGCAGAGGTTGCAGTGAGCCGACATCATGTCATTGCACTCCAGCCTGGGCAACAAGAGTGAAACTCCAAAAAAGAAGAGAGAAAGAGAGAGAGGAAGGAAGGAAGGAAGGGAGGAAGGAAGGAAGGAAGGAAGGGAAGGAAGGACTTGCAATTTCTGCCTGCAGTGCTTCTCTGCAGAGACACAAGTCCATGACGCTGGTGTCATGGTTCCTTTTCACTCTCCTTGTTTTTGTTGTTTCAGTTCTTTTCCCCCATATCTCAGTCTCCTCCCTCTACTCCAATCAAAAATCCCCGTGCCTCTTCTCCCACCACCCTGCAGACTCAGACAAGACTGCATCTCAGCTTGCTCTCAGGCTGAGAGCACTGATAGCTTGGCTCTATCTAGCAGACAACAGGAAGCCTCTGAAGGGCTGTGAGCAGAGAAATCATTAGGAAGATGCATCTTGGCAGTAGTTCCTCAAATGAATTAGGCGAGAGTGAAACGTCTTGATTCTCGAGCAGACTCAGCGTGGGACGGCACACTGGTGCCACCTGGAGGCGGCCGGCCTCAATTACAGACGCAGTTTACAGAAAGCTGACAAAACCCTTCTGAAACCGTATCTGAAACGGAAAGTCATCGAGTGACTTTTTAGTGCTACACGAAGAGTGGTCTGTTTATTAGGGCTAAGCCAGCAAGGAACAAAACTGCAGGGAAGTGACCCTGCTAGAGACTCTAGGACTAGCCTGGCCCTCCATGTCCTCCCTGGGGAGAGGCTGACTTGAAAGGAGGTTCTTGAATTAGTTGTTTTTGTAATAAAACCTCCCAGGATAGGCTGGGAGCCCCCACCCCACCACCACCACAGAAATCTATTTTGCAACAGATTTTCAAACCAACATATTTGCCAAAACACAGGCTTGTCATTTCTCAGGGGAAGGGGGAGAGCTGGTTCTTGCTTCAAGTGAAAACCACCACACAGGAAAGAGAATGTGTCGCTAGCACAGTGGCTCATGCCTGTAATCCCAGCACGTTGGGAGGCTGAGGTGGGCAGATCACCTGAGGCCGGCAATTCGAGACCAGACTGGCCAACATGGTGAAACCCTGTCTCTATCAAAAATACAAAAATTAGCCAGTCGTGGTGCTGGGCACCTGTAGTCCCAGCTATTCAGGAGGCTGAGGCAGGAGAATTGCTTGAACCCGGGAAGTGGACGTTGCAGTGAGCCAAGATTGCACCACAGCACTCCAGCCTAGGTGACAGCGAGACTCCATCTCAAAAAAAAAAAAAAAAAAGAGAGAGAGAGAGAATGTGTCCCCAGACTAGAGACAGGGTGTCACAGGTGACAATGGCAGTCAGAGCCTGCCCTGTTAAGCTGCTCAGGTTTTTCCAGTACTTTTTTTATTTTCACTAAAGATCCTGTGATTTGCAACACAACCTAGGCATTAACACATAAGGAAAACTAGAAATTGAAATGAAGCAGTTTTCAGAATAAGGATTAGACTCCAGAATCCCAGATTCTTTCTGCCAGCATCCACTTAATGACATACTGAAGTATGGAATTCCTGTAATACTAAGTTATTTGTTTCTTCTTTCGAAAAAGGGGTAAACTATATTCCTTATCAGTTTTCTCCAAGTTACTAAGTCCTGGGAAGTTTATTGTGGCTGCATTTTCTCTTGCCCTTGGCTTTACCTCCTCCCTAATATCTAATGTTTTTTTAAGAAAGTTTCTCAGTGTAGAAAAACAAGGTCATTTCTCTGAGTCTTTGCCAAATCTGCACTGGACCTTTGCTTCTGGAGGAATGGGAATTTAAAAGGAGCCCAAGATGGTCATCCGGATTTTCATAAAAAGGAAGAGCTTTGCTCACTCACTTGACACTCGCTGCAACCCTGTGAGGTTTATATTGTTATGCATGTTTTAAAGGGGATGAAATAGATGCTCAAAGAATAATCTGCCCAAGAACACACAGCTAGAAAGTAGAAAAACTAGGATTTAAAATCCCAGGGTTGCCTGACTGCAGATTTTCCTTGCTTCCCACAGCACTGGGCAGAGGTCCACTTCCTAAAAGTCTAGGGAGGCCGGGCACAGTGGCTCATGCCTGTAATCCCAGCACTTTGGGAGGCCGAGGCAGGTGGATCACCTGAGGTCAGGAGTTCGAGACCAGCCTGACCAACATGGTGAAACCCCATGTCTACTAAAAGTGCAAAAATTAGCTGGGCATAGTGGCGGGCACCTGTAATCCCAGCTACTCGGGAGGCTGAGGCAGGAGAATCGCTTGAACCCGGGATGCGGAGGTTGCAGTGAGCCAAGATCGCGCCACTGCACTCCAGCCTGGGCAAAAGAGCGAGACTCCGTCTCAAAAATAAATAAATAAATAAAAAATAAACACAAAAATAAAATAAAAGTCTAGGGAGACGAAACCCAAAGGGCTAAATAAAGCAGGGGGAGCCCTGAGGATAAAAGAAAAAAGGGTTGGATCTGGGTCTGCAGGGAGGGGCCAGGATGTGGACAGGGCCAAGGCAGGAGATCCCTACTGGGAAAAGGAAAGTCTCGGCCCTGGAGGGGGGTGGCCACTTAGAAGTCAGATTTAAGGTGGGAAAGGAAACTTGCACAAGGTCAAATGGTTAGGAGGAGGCACTGGGAAGGAATCACGCCTTAAGGACTTTCTGAAAAGCCAGGCTCAGATTCTTTGCTCTGCCACTCTGACCCTTGACTTTCCCCACATCTGCCTCATTTTAACATTTTCATTGTATTTCCATATGATTTACTTTGTATTCTCCTTGTTTCTTCCCATTCCAGTCCACTGCCTTTTTCTATTTGGTTTTACTCAGTTGTGGCTATTCTAGAGGAACCAGGGGAAATACAGGCCTCTCTTCTTCGGACTGAGTATCATGTAACATCTTCAACTTCATTCTTCCATTAAAGGCAAAGTATGTGCTACAAAATCAAAGTTCACATTCTGCAATCAGCTTCCAAGAGAGTGAAGTCGACTTTACCCTATCTTTTCCATGTTTTTCTTCTAAACTACTTCTGAGCCTTTTCTTCCCTTCTGTCCCCTTCGGAGAGGTGTCAGTGTGGCCGGGACTGAGCTGTGCAGAGGTGGTGGGAGGTGTCCCATGGAGACGGTACTGCACGGTTCCATGGAGCAAATAAGTAAATTGAACAAGTAAATGTAGAGAGGACCATGGGGGCTAGGTTAGAGCAGTGGCCAGAAGAGAAGGGGGAAGAATGGAAATAACCTTAAGGTATTGAATTGTAATCAGAAGTACATTATGAACTCATAATTTAAAAATACATAAATACAAAAATGTAAATATATCTGTGCAGATATAACTATATGAGCACATATAGAGAGAGGTGTATACACACACACACACACACACACACACACACACACACATACTTACAAACAAATCTTAGCTCTATCAGCCAAGCAAGCCTAGAAGCAATATCATCCCAGCAGCAACAAGCACGTGGAACATCTAATCTTGGTTTCTAAATGTCATTCTGCACTGAAAGGAACCAGGAAATAACTGATTCCTGGGACGGTGCAGGAACTAGGTAAGCCTGGAATATCTGATTGTACTAGAAAGGGAAGACATTGCTCAAGAATGATGTGGACAGAGCCGGGTGTGGTGTGTTACAGGAGGCAGTTAGTCAGACATGAGCAGGGCAGAGAGGGCACGTCCCCGCCATGGCCCCAGGACCCGGGATCTCAGACAACCATCAGGTGACGACCAGGCAGTTGTCACACTGTCTCTCTAAGATAATAATTGGTCACAGCTGTCTCACCAGGGAAAGGCAGTCTCCCAAGAGAGAAAAAAACTGAAACTGGTGACCAGCAGCTTCCCAGTAAGATCTCGGGGGTTGAGCGGGTGAACTCAAGCGTGTGCTCTGAGAGGCAAGTGGTGGGGTTTAACTGGTCTATGACCTTCTTCTAGGAACACTCGATTGGTAAGGGAAGAGCTCCTCAAGTGAGCGTGCGTACAACGTCATAAACACGCTGTGCACACAGCCCTCCCAGGTGCAGACAGCCCGCCCCAAGGGGAGAACCAGGGGAGAAGGGACACAGCCCCCGTCGGAAGCTCGCCAGCGTAAAAAACCCCAAGTCAAAGGTTACACTGTGCACTCACATGTCTCTAGTTGCCTGCTTGGCCCTCTTCCAAGCATACTTTATTTCCTTTTGTTCCTGCTTCAAAACTTTTTAATAAACTTTTACTCCTGCTCTAAAACTTGCCTTGAGCATTCTCTCTCTCTCTCTCTCTCTCTTTCTCTCTCTCTCTCTCTCTCTCCCTCTCTCTGCCTTATGCCCCTCAGTTGAATTCTTTCTTCTAAGGAAACCAAGGAAGCAAGAATTGAGGTTGCTGCAGACCCGTGCAGATTTGCTGCTGCTAACATACTTTGGTGCTGTGACTTGGATATGTTCCCTAGTGGTAAGACCCCTCTTTGCCTCGCCTTCTTTGGCTGCAGGTGTTCAACCCCTAAATGCAGTTTTCTTCTCCATCTTGCTCTCCTGCTTACTAACCAACCCCCAGAATTATTCCTCTCAGCCACAGTGGCTCTGCTTCCCCCAGCTGATCCCTCAGCTCACCCTGACAGGTGGCTCATGGAGGTGAGGAGGAACTTGGAGTCTGCACCAAGTAGACCTGAGATGCTAATGGCCCTCCTGCACAGGAGGCTGGTGAGAGTGGTAGGGCTAAAGCCTAGGGACCGTGCAATGTCTGGGATTTCCTCTGCTTTTTCAACTAAAATCAGCTCTTTCCCAAAAACCTGCACTGCCTATTCTGTTTTCTCTGTGTGTGTTTTGAAATGGCCTTGTGCACCCACAAGACTATCTGCCTGCGGGGCAAGGCTGCCTTTCCCAGGTTTCACTTTGCATACTGCAAAACTTCCTTCTCTGCCTCACACACACACACTCCCTCTTACTCGTGCATCTGCGGCTCTTGCTGCACTCGCTGGGCAGCAAAGCCACAGGCTTCCTTGTGGATGTCTCCTGAGATTTGTACTTTTTTACCCCACCAGCTAGGATGACCTCCAACTTTTCCCCTGTCTGTTTGCACACTGCTGGGATGGACACTATCGGAACCCCAGCTCTGACAGCTCCCGACGACTTTACCGTACACTTCTTGTTCCTGTTATGCCCCAGGACCTAGTTTTCTGGTGGCTTTTGAAGCAGTTTGTGCACCTGCATAGGACCTCACTCTGTGGCCCTTTAAGGACCCCACCTACGTGTGTGTGTGTGTGTGTGTGTGTGTGTGTGTGTGTGTGTGTTTGGTTAGTATCCCTTTGGCAGGAGGAAAAATTCTTCCTTTGCCATTTGTGAGTTCTTACCACCAAGCTCCAAGTCCTCCACAACTTCTTCTGTGTCAATGGAGCAAATAAATGTTGCCCTCTCAAATCTAAGGGCTGCTGTTTTTGCAAGCAAATCCCTTCCATGAGCATCCCTCTCGCTTCCTCGCACTTCTCCCTGTAGCCTCCATTTCTCCAATCGCTTCCACGCCCGTCTCAATATGCAGCAAGATCTTCAAGGTCATATTCAAAGGGAGGGAAGTCCAGCTCCCTTGAGGCATTTAGCTGACAAACAGGTTTCTCATCTACTGAAAGAACATGGGAAATGGAAATCTGAGAAAAGAGATAACCAGTTTGTTGTAGAATGCTCTGGGCGAGAGTCACTGTGAGGTCATGGAGACAAGGATCTAGGCAGGCTCAAGCCTGCAGGTGCAAGAGACCCACAGGACAGAGATGAAGGTTTCTTCCAGGTGACCATTACCATTAAACAGAGATGAAGGCAAGGTTAGGGGTGCATCGTAAGACCAGTTCATTCCAGAATCCCAAGGATGAACAGGGGGTCCTTGGTTCAGGCCCGTATTTCCTCTGTTCTCAAGTGGGTAATTGTGACAAGATGGGATGAGGGTTAAGAGAACATGGTAAGACTGGTTTATTCCAGAACCCTAAGGACGAACGGGGGATGCCCTGTTCAGGATAGAGAAGTAAGAGGGGACACCTTCTTTTTCCTGTTTCCTTTTTTTTTCTCCTCTGTTCTCTCTTCACAAATGGGTAATCACATCTTCATACCACGGGACGTGCGCCCTGGTTGTATCCTCAAGAACCGGGAAAAGTTTGATCCTCTTCAAACCTAAAAACAAAAAATGAGTTTTCCTTTGTAATACCATTTGGCCTCAAAACAAACTGAGAGAAAATTACAAAAGTCAGCCTTAGAACCTAGTACACCTATGTAGGAAATCCTCCAATCAGCCTCCTCAGTCCTTTGTAACCAAAAGCAGAATAAGGACGACAGGGCTAAGGAGAAGGGGAAATGCAGGCACAAGAGGCAGGCTCAACGACTGGCTGCTTTACAAGCTCGCCAGCCCACTCCAGGTTGCCCTAAGGACAGTCCTTCAGGTAACTGCCATTGGCGTGGGGAGCCAGGCCACTGGAAGGCAAACTGCCCCAATGAAGTAAATGGGAAAAAGCCCGGCACAGCTTGCCCCTTTGCCACAGCTCTGCCACTGGAAAGGAACTGCCCTGAGAGCTGAAGGACCCCCAGGACCGGATCCCAATCCTTGATGGCTTTGAGCTGAAGGAGCTCTCTGCTCTGGCTGGCTTCTAAGTCAGACATTGTCATCAGCAAGACAAAACCAAGAACAACTCTAGAGGTAACAAGTAAAATTATAAATTTCCTTTTTGGGTTCAAGAGCTGCCTAGTCTATGCTAGTCTCCTTCTCTAAGCAACTCTTCTCCAAATCCTGTCAGGTAACAAGGCAAATGTCACCCCCTCCCTCTAAAAGAGAAGATTCACTCCCCTTTGGGGCAAAAATATACTTTCCAAAATGGGTGACTGCTTACTATGTACCCAACCTCTGAATTTACCTTCCTCTCTAATTGCCCTATTTCTCCCAAAAAGCTACCTAAATCTTAACTTCAACCTGTACCATCCTACTTCAGGGGTTTAAAAATAGCCCACACTTATTTGGATGAGCCCTAGCAAAAATCTAACCGAGCAATCTCTTGAGGGGGAACAACTTCTACAGTATGTAAATAATCTTCTCCTTTGCTTCCCCTTCACAGGACGCATAAAACAACATGCAGTACAAACTGTAAATTCCTAACAGAAAGAAAATGACTTTTGTCTAATTCAAAGGTTATAAAGGTAAAGAGGTACTTTGGTTAAGGAAGGTTATAAAGAAAAGAAATTTTATATGAGAAAGGATCTTTTGTCATAAATTGGTGTCCTAAAGAAAAATAACTGATTGTTTTAAAAAAAGGGATGCTTAGGACAAGTGAGAAAGTCCAAGCTTTTCATAGATGATCTGTGTAAGTCATGAAAAGATTTGTGAAAGGGAATTTATAAAAGAAATATTTTAAATTTTTGGTTTTTTATTATTATTTTTACAATTTTTAATTTTTGTGAGTACATAGTAGGCATATATATGTGTGATGTACATGAGATATTTTGATACAAGCATACACTGTGTAATAATCACATCAGGATAAATGGGGTATCTATCACTTCAAGCATTTATCCTTTCTTTGTGTTACAAACAATCTAATTATAGTCTTAGAGTTACTTTTAAATGTACAATAAATTATTGTTGGCTGTAGTTACCCTGTTGTGCTATCAAATACTAGATCTTATTCATTGTATCTAACTATATTTTCATACCCAATAATCATCCCCCTTCTACTCCTCCACTACCCTTCCCACACCCTAGTAACCATCATTCTAACACAAATGTGAATTACAATATTCTAATGTGACTTTAGAAATGTTTCACTTCTCAGTAGTTTTGTGATGTGAACAAACATTACCAAAAACAAAAGATTCTATTTTTTCTAGTAAAATATCCTAGAGTAGAATTTCAAATATCATGCTGGATTCTTTTCATGTTTATTTGGATGAAAATAAGGTATGTTAAGCAAGTGTAATTATCTCATTTCTATACTGCTTGTATACTTTCTTGAGAAGGTCAGAACTGTTTCTGCTCTGATAAACATAATAATGTTATATACACCTTCACAGAGAACAAGCATGGTTTTTAACCAGTTAAATTAAATTGAAATTCATACTACTAAATAAATGAATAAACAAGTAAATAAATGGAGGAAGGAGAGAAAGTTCTTTCTTACAGTAGAATGCCAAGTAATTAATGTAGAAGGCATGATGAAAATAGCAAACCACCATATGACACTAATGTGGTTATAATTTATTCAGATAGGGATCATCCACAAATATTAAGGCTGCATGGGTGGAACTTGTTAAGGATCAGGATTTTTAGCATAATTTTAGAAAAATCTCCCCACAAATGCTTATCAATTGCAAAGGTGAAAATGGGTGACTCCTAGGAGGAGAAACATGGAAGACACCAACATGACCAAGCAATCAAGATTAACATCCCAGCGATGGGACAGGACCACATCATGTGCTGTAATGTGCCGAGCCCAGGATCCTGTCCATCATTTTCCTGTCAAGAACTCATGGCGAGGTCTGACCAAAATGAAATATCAGATGGAACCAGGTCTAGGGCCATCCTACGGAACAAAAGGCCTGCACTCTTAAAAACTGAAGGATGTGGGGCCAGTTGCAGTGGCTCATGCCTATAATCCCAGCTCTTTGGGAGGGCCAAAGGTGGGCAGATCACTTGAGCCAGGAGTTTCGAGGACCAAACCTGAACAACTAGAAACCCGTGTCTCTAAAAAAGATACAAAAATTAGCCGGTTGTGGTGGCACATGCCTGTAGTCCAGATACTCGAGGGCTGAGGTAGGAGGATCACCTGAGCCCAGGGAGGTCAAGGCTGTAGTGAGCCATGATCACCCCACTGTATTCCAGCCTGGGTGACAGAGTGAGACTCTGTTTCAAAATAAAAACAAAAACAAAAAACTGAAGGATGTGGAAGACAGGGAAAGACTAAGAAATTTTTCCATATTGAAGGAAATCTCCTTCCTTCTATTTGGACATGTGACAACTAAATGTATTGCATGCTCCTGGACCCTGAAAGGGAAAAGAGACATGGTGAGCTGAGCCAGCAAAATTTGAATGGGGTCTGTGGATTGGGTAGCAG